CCCCCCCCGGCCCCCCCCCCCCAGCAGCTGCCAGAGCTCCTCGCGGCACAGGCGCAGCCTCTCGGCCTGGGTCTCGGAGCCGTCGGGGAGGAAGTCCTTGGGGCCATGCGAGCGCTGGGGCAGCTTCTGGGTCCGTGAACGGGCGGCGAGGAGCTCCCGAGCGCTGGGGGAGAAGGGAAATACGGAGTTAGAGCCGCCGCACCCCGGGCCCTAGTTCCCCTATCCCACCCACCCCACGCTCCCGCGTCGTTCAGGAACCTCCACGGTCGCGGGCTCGGGTTCGGGCTCCATCTGGCCGCCGTCTGCGCCTGCGCGCCCCGCGGGCTCCGCCCACCGCCGGAAGTCCGCGCGGCCCTAGACCACCGCCGGAAGTCCGCGCGGCCCTAGAGCCCGCGGATCCACCCTCGGTTCGTAGTCCCGCGGTCCGCAAGGCTGCTCCCCGCCTTCCCGCCTGTCCTGGGTCCTAGCGCCGGCCACAGAGCGTGCCTGGATCCGGCGGCCGAGAGTTTAGCTTGAGGCTTCCTGGATATGAAGGCTCCCCTCTCCTGTCTCCAGCCCTTCTCTGGACCCCTCTCGTGAACTTGGGAGTGTGGTATAAACAGACAAATTGTGACTGTCCCCTCCTCAGCCCTGGAACGTTCCCGTCTCCACCACTTGCTGGGAAAGGAGGGAAAGGGATTAGAGAGGGGAGAATGGTCCCAGCTTTGCGAGCTAAAGGCGACCCGAGGCCCGTCAGGACCGGTCCGGGAAGGTTCGGTGTTCCTTCAGGATCTTCCGCTGGGTCCCTTCCGAAGGGCTCCGAAGCCGGGTTTCCAGGGGGCGGGAGGCGCTGTCCGCCCCGCGATGGTGCTGAAGCGCCACCCTCTCCTCCATTCTCATCTCGAGGCCGGGGGCCCCGCCCCTGCCACGGTGGGCCACTCCGACACTGCCCGCTAGGTGGCCCCATTGCCCAGGCCAGCGGCTGTGGGGCGCAGACACTGGCCGCGGGACCCAGAAGGGGCGAGGGGCAAAGGGAGCTTCCCAAGTGGGGTCCCCGGGCTCAGCTGCCACATGTTCAAGTCATGTCTTTCCCACCCAGTCACACCCAGGGTATCTCGACCTTGGGTCTAATCTAGTCGCCGCAGGTCGCCCGGACTCCGCAACCGGGACACAGCCGCGCCAACTCTTGCCCTCAACCCCCGCTCCGGTTCACCTGGGCGCATGCGCTGATCCGGCCCTAGCCTCCTGCCCAGACCAGCGCGACGGGGCGGGGCCTGGCGCGGATGGGGGCGTGGCCGCAGGCACTGACTGACAGCCCGACTGCGCGGCCGGGACGGTCCCTCTGCTCCCGATCCGGCGGGGGGGGCGGGGGGAGGGGCGGGATTTCCTGCGGGAGGCGCTTAGCCGGCCTTGGAAAAGGAGAAGGAGGAGAAAGGGGGCAGGGGGGGCGGTGGGAGCCTGCGTCCAAAGTGCCAGGGACCGCGCTGGTCCAGCCGGACCCCCAGCAGGGCGGCGGGGAGAGGTGAGAACTTGGGGCCTGAGCTGGGGGTCAGCGCCCTTGGGGTCGGGCACAAACTAACTTTTCTTGCGGGATCGGAGGGCGCCTCCATCTCTCCACTCCTTTCGTGTTCCTGGAGCCCCTTTTTTCCGTCCTCCCATATCCATCCCTCCGGCGCTTGGCCCTCTCGGTCCCTCCTGCCGCTTTGTTCCCCCGGTGGGCCTGAGCTGTGCGGGGCTGGGCTGCGCTGGGCAGGGCTGGGGGTTGCGCGGCGCTGGAGGGGCATTCCGGGGGGCGGGGGAGCCAGCCCGACCCCCGGTACTGCCAGCGGCGCCCTCCCCCCCAGCGTCGGCTGCGGGCCTTGAAGGGGAGTGCCCTCTGGGTTGGGCTTGGGACATTTTGGGAATGAGGGGTTCCCAGCCAGGGCCCCTGGCCTGCACGGGTCTCATGCTACAAGACTTTGGCAACAAATTCACCGCCACTGAGGAACTGACGTAAGCGTATCTGCAGTGAGGTCGAGAGTTTGGGCTTCGGGTTCGGGCCTGGGGGGGGCCCCGGAGCCCTGTTTGCCACAGAGCCCCAGCTCTAACTGTTCTCTGCCCAGCTGCTCCCCCACCCAGAACAGGGGGTTAGGATGGGTCAGCAACAGGTGCCATAAAGCTTCCCTGTCCAGCTGGCAGATGACCCCCCTAGAAATGGGGGCCCATAAGCTCACCACTCCACCCCCTCAGTTCATAAAGAGCCCTGGGGCTGGGGAAAGCTGAGGTGGGGAGGCGTCTGGGGGCAGGCACCTTCCCACAGGGAGTGACCCTTGCCGCCTGCCCGTGTCTGACCCTCCCAGGCCCCACCTCCTGGCCTACCAGTTGTCTGTGGGTGTCGGAGCCTGGGGCTGTGGAGAACAGGCTGCTGGCCCAGCCAGCCCCAGTGTGTCGTGCTGCCAGGGCCCCTCCTGCCCAAGGTTGAGGTGCTGCCAGGTGCCCTGGGGCCCCAGTGACTCAGCCTCCCCCTCCCAGAACGCCACTCTCCCCTCCACATGCTCCTTGTGCATGGCAGCTCCCTTCTCTCCAAGGGACAACCAGGATAACTGGGGGCTCCCTGGCGATCCTGCTTATCCTGCTTCTGGGACCCTTGCAGGCTGTGACCCAGCTTTCAGCAGACCCGGAGACCTGGCTACCACTGCTGCCTGAGGCCCAAGGGAATGCTGGCTGCTCTCTGGGTGGGCATTGGTGCTCCCAAGCCAGGAAGATTGGCGGGCCCAGTCCTGGCCCATCCCGGCTGTCGGAAGCTGCAAGCTGATACCCAGCCAGATTTCCACGCTGCCTCCACCCTCTCAGAGACTGGCTTTCCTGCTTGTGGTGGCAGCTCACAGAGCACCTTTAGGGAGTAGCCATCAGCGCCTGACAAGGAGCCCACTGCCTGGGACAACAGACGTGCTCCCTGGACCAGGAGCCCTCCACAGGGCTGAGGCATGGCCCCCTGACACTTCAACTTTGACCAGTTCCTCCGCCTCTGCTCTGGACTCCTGAGCCCAGAGCCTGGTCCCGGGGCCAGGATGGGTCGTGAACAGGACCTGATCCTTGCTGTCAAAAACGGAGATGTAACCGGCGTGCAGAAACTGGTGGCTAAGGTCAAGGCTGCGAAGACTAGTGAGTATTTGATGGGCTGACCATCCAGCCGAGGTCTCCTTGAGTGCTCAGGCCACAGAAGCAGTTGGGAGGAAGGGGAGGGAAGGGGCGCTGTGTTCTGCAGACTTGCAGAGAGAGGATTGCCTTGTTCTGGGTAACGAGTGTTTCTGTGTGGGAGGACCAGAGAGGAAATTGGGTCCCCTTTTGCTGTGTGTCCTTAGGCAAGCCACTTAGCTTCTCTGAGCTGCAGTTTCCTTGCCTTCAAAGTGAAAAGGCTGAAGGACATCCATTCGCATTTTCATCAAGTGCCTGTCGTGTGCCAGGCTCTGTTTTAAGCCCTCATCTATAGCAGCGAGCAAAACAGACCAAAATCCTGCCCTGGTGGCCTTGCCTTCTAGCAGGTGGTTTTTCAAATGTGCTTTTTGGAATCGAGGGTTGAGAAAGACTGAAGAGATGGAATTTCATCCCCAGCCCCTGCTCACTCTTCATCTCGAGCATCTCTCTGTCTAAGGATGTCTATAGTTTCCAGAAAGAGAGTCTACTTCTTTGAAAGCACTAGCCACTTGCTAAAGCCTCTGTCCCCTGACTTTCCTGCCTGTGTCCCTTGGCTGTATGTGACCAAAGTGAATTTTCCAGGGGTTTCTATGCAACCTGGGGGCTGGATGCACAAGTGAGCATGCCTGAGCCCCATCCCTCAGGTCCTTCTGTGGTGAGACCCCCCTCCCTAAGAATAAGCCTCTGGCTTCAGGACAAGTTCCCAAGAGGCCACTAGAGCTGTCACCTTGAGATCCTAGACCAACAAGGGCAGGAGGAAGTTCTGGCCACTCAACGGGGTCTGGAGGAAGAGTTTCCTGGATGGGAGAGTTTCTTCTGGAGTGCTGGGGCTACGGCCCTGTACACAGCAAGGAGTCCCCCAGACTACCTGCCTGCACACACTTTACTGTCCCCACCCATACCTGGGGTGCAGGGTGCCAGAGGAAGGATATGAAGGGCGTGCACCCACTTGCACAGAGCCGGAGCCCCGAGGCATGGAGCAGCGGATCTGCCCTGGGGCAGCGGGAACAGGCTGGACATGTGAAGGGGAGAAGGCGCGAGAGAGGTCCCGGGGGAGGGCACTGGGGCCCAGGAGAGCGAGCCACTCCCTCTCCCCCTCACCTCAGTGTTGATTTTGGCCACCTGCCCAGTGGGGCCTTGGCGAACTACTGCTGGCCTTGTGGCCCTAGAAGGCCCCCTTTGAGGCCCTCAGAAGGGCAGGCAGAAGGGGTCCAGAGGCCGGTGGCAGGGGCTTCCCTGTCAGAGGTCTACCCTGTCCCAGCTCCTCGTTCTAGAAGGTGCCCTGTGCCCAGTGTGTCTCTGGGAGGGAAGAGTCCTTCCCTCAACTCCCCTTGCGCAGGTTACAGGCTCAGCGAGACACAGGCCTGGGACTCTGTGAGGTCCTGGCACAGTGCCTCCTCTCCTAGCCCTCAGAGAAGCCGGAGAAGCTGGTGACAGAAGTGAGATCACAAGGTGACATTCACAAACCTTAACAGTTTATAAAGTCTTGGAATCACCTCACTTCCCTGTCAGGTAGATCTTCCATAACCACTTTGCAGATAAAAGAGAGAGACACTCAGAGAGGGTTAGTGATTTGCTCAAGGTCACACAGCTGTGGAGTGGCAGATCAGAGACATTGTGCCCTGTCCCTTGTGTCCTCATGCTCTGGGGTGGTAATAGAGCTTTCTGGCTATTCAGAGAGAGAGCAGAGAAGGGGTGCCCCCAGCCTCCTCCGATCGCTGGCTGCCATTCCCTGCCACCGTCCAGGTCCTCCAAGCAGGTGACTAGAGGGGGGCAGTTGCCACAACCCTGTGCCCTCCCCACCCCCTTTTCTGAGCGTCTCCTTCTTTGGCCAGAGGAAATGAAGTGGGCTGGGGTGGCCGTCTGAGCTCACATCCTCGGCCCCAGCCTAAATCAGGAGCGACACTTCCCCCCAGAGCTAGGCCTGGGAGGAAGGTCATGCTGCATCGGAAGTGCCTGGAGCCACTGCCAGGAACCGGGACTCTCCACCCTCCACCAAGGTCCCGAGCCCGGTCACTCTGAGCCTTCCCCCCACCGCCTTTCCGGCTATTGTTCTAGAAAGAACGGAGCCGCCCAGACTGACCCTGCCCCTGTTCCTGTCCCTCCTGTCACTTTGGCGTGCCCCTCCCCAGAAGGTCCCTCCACTGAGCTGCTTCATCTTGAACTACCTAGGCCGGCAGGCTGGCAGAGGGTGAGTGGGATGAAGGACTTTCTGTGTCTCTTCCCTGACAACCTCATTGTCTTCACTGAGGCTCAGAGAGGTGTCACAGCTGGTCAAGGTCACACAGCCTGCGAGGCAGAGCGAGCGTTTGAACTATGCACGTCCTGCATCTAGAGTTCCTGTTCCTGCCACCCCAAGTGGTCCTGTGGGGCCTAGAGGGGGCTAGAAGGGGCTAGAGGCCATGAGGCCTGGGTCTCTCCCTGGTGGGCCATCCCTTTGGTTCCTCTGTCCCGCCCAGGGTCTCTGTTTACCTTTCCGACAGTGTCCTTCAGCCCAGCCCTGAATGTGGCTGTCCCTCCCTCTGTGTCCTGTGCTCCCCGCTGCAGAGTTGGTCCCTCCTGTTGGAATGAGGCCCCGTCTTGCCCAGGCTGCCTGGGTATTCAGGGGCCCACCAGGGCCTGGGGGGCAGGCCTGGACCAGCATGCTTGGCATCCTGCCCAGCCCGGGTTGAGCCAGGCTCCCTCCTTCCCGGCAGGGGTGGGTTCCCACAGAAGGTTGGGGCCGCCTGTGACCGGCCTTCCCTTCCTCTCTCCACCACTTCCAGGACGCTCCCAGCCGTGCCTGGCTCACACAGGGGTAACTGTGTGAACCCTGTCTAGGAGGGGCGCCCTTTGCTCCCCCAGCCAGTAGAGAGCCCCTGCCGGGGGCAAGGACATCCCTGTGAAAAGCCTGTGGGTGTGGAGTCAGTGCCTCCCCAGCAGGCTGAGAAAGCACTGAGACGCAGAGGAATGGTGGCTTCTCCGGCTCTGCCAGAGAACAGGGGAGCGCTGAGTGCAGCTGCCGAAGCCCGCACGCTGCCAGGGGCCGGGCGTGGCACTCAGAACCCCATGAGCAGGCTCTGTGATGTTCTTACAGATGAGGACACTGAGCCTGAAAGGTCAAATGACTTACCCAAGGTCACTTGGCTAGCACATGGCAGTGCTGGGGTAAGGTCGAGGTCTGTCCGACGCCGCCTTCCCCATCACGCTTCACTCAGGGACATCCCAGGGCTGGCACTGTGGTCCTGGAGTCCAGCCCTGGCATCTGTCCTGCTCTTGACTGTGTGGTGCCCCTTCCTCTCCCCGTTGACCCCCCTCGCCCCATGGACAAGTGACTCGTCCCCTGGCCCGCTCAACAGGAATGTTAACCATGCGCTCCGTGGGCCCATCCACCGAGGGCACATCATGCCAGTGCCCCTCCCCGCCCCCTTTGCCTCTATAAGCAAGCTGGCTGGAGCCGGGAGGCCAGGCCACAGCTGCAGCAGTGCCCTGCTCAGCATCCTGGGGAGCCACGGGGATAGACGGGTAGAGGGCCATGGGGCAGGTGCTTTTCTGCGCACCGAGAGGTCAGCCGGGCTTTGGGAGGCAGGGGGGGTGCACCGGCTCAGGGTGGGGGAGCCTGGCGTTCGGTGCCCTGATGCCGCCTCCCCTGACCCCCAGAGCTCCTCGGCTCCACGAAGAGGCTCAATGTCAACTATCAGGATGCTGACGGGTGAGTGTGGGGGGGTCTTCCCACGAGCTGCTGGGTGAGAGGCAGAGCTGGGGGTGGGGTGCAAAAGGGAAAGACCCCAGCCCGAGTCCCTTCCCTTCTCAAACGTGGGCCCCAAAGTGCATTTGCCGAGACCTTGGGTCCTGCCTGTGGAGTTGGCCCTGAGCTAGGGGAGGGGGCCTCCTTGGGTCAGATTCCTTCCGGGGGCCCCCTTTTCTACCCTAGAGGGTAGGAACCCTCGAGCTCCTGCTCCCACAGCCCCCTCCCCGGGGAATGCTGGGGGGAGGCCAGACAAACAGGCCTCTCAGCCCAGACACTGGGCCCTTTCATGCTGTGGCCGGCTGCTGCGCTCCCACGGCAAAGCTGGCGGGTGGGGTGGGGGACAAGTCACCGTCCCTGCCAGCCCCGGGAAGGGTTTGGGTGTGGAAGGCCAGGATTTGGGGGCGGGGTTGCTCCGTGACACCCTGTGCTGTGTCCTGCCCTGCAGATTCTCGGCTCTGCACCACGCCGCCTTGGGAGGCAGCCTGGAGCTCATAGCCTTGCTGCTGGAAGCTCAGGCCACTGTCGACATCAAGGACAGCAACGGTAAGACCCCGTGTGCCCTGCCCCCAGACCGGAAAACAGCCCCGCTAACGTGGGCTCGCCAGTGGCATTGCCCTCTTTCATCTTTACACCCTTCTGGGGTCGTGGGGGGTGCTGACCCCTTTATTCAGAGGAAGAGGTTGAGGCTCAGAGAGGCTATGTCACTGTCCCGGGGTTACCAGAGCACCCTGCTGGGCGCTGTGGGGCTCTGGCTTCAGCCCCATACAGCTGGACCGTTTCCTGTCCAAACCCAGGGTGGCTCGGTACTCTGCTCCCTGCCTGCCACCCCTTCCGCCCCAGGACCTCTCTCCAAACCCCTCCCCCAGGCATGCGCCCCCTGCACTACGCAGCCTGGCAGGGCCGGCTGGAGCCCGTGAGGCTGCTGCTGCGTGCCTCCGCGGCGGTCAACGCAGCCTCACTGGACGGGC